TTTCCTTCCCTAACTCATTCTACAAACCTCTCCTGCCAACCCGTCCTCATACCAAGTCCATTCCATCCAGCGGTCGACCCCAAAGACTTATTCATCAATTTTAACATGCTATTCATTCAGCATAGGAATTTTCTAAAATATAAAATAATAATAGTATATATATTAGCATAATATGCATATTTAGGTATTGGTTAGGTTAGGATTTCAAGTTTTGTTGGCGAATTTTTGTAGTAGGTGAGTGAAGCATTTACAGCGTTGTGCTTCGAACAAAAGTCGTCAGCGAAGCACTTGTTCCGGGATTGTTCGGACGTCATCAGTTGTAAGTCGTGTGTAAACTGTTTATCATTTATTAACAGGGGGTTTGGCGGGTGCATGGAATGGACTTTGGGCTTTTGTTTATGAGGACGGGCTTTTCGTACTGAAGGAACCATTCAGTACATCCCCGTGGCTGGTTTAAATATTATTTTAGGAAAGGGAAGAGGGGCTAACCGGGAGAGGGGGTGGGAGGGAGGAATGGGGAAACGAGGAACAGGAAATGGGAAGGGTGAAGGATGGGGAGTACGAGGGGAAAGACGGGAAGGCAATGGGAAGGGGATGTAAAGAGGTCTACAGAAGTTTCGTTGCTCCCCTAATATTAAGAAGTGGAAGGGACGGGATGGGGGAGGACGAGGGAGGGGTGAGGAAGCTGGGAAGGGGGAGAGGGAGAAGAGAGAGAATGAAGGGACAGGGGAGGGCACCCGGGCACCGCCGGATACCCTCCTAGTTTTTCTATAAACAATTACTATCACCTTTCTGTATTTTACCTCATAACTGTTTCCTTCACTTTGATCTCCCTCTTCTGTTTCCTCTGTGTGCCTTGCTGTTCCTCATGCCATAATCTTTATAATAAACAAGAATCACTCAAGGTTCTTTTCTGTGAATATCAACAGGGAAATATTTAAAGGTAAAATGTTGAATCAATGAGATGGTATAACAGGGGAAAAATGGTGAACCCCTCGCTACTTTTCCACCTGTCCCTCGCTACTTTTCCACCTGTCCCTCTCTACTTTTCCACCTGTCCCTCTCTTCTTTTCCACCTGTCCCTCTCTACTTTTCCACCTGTCCCTCTCTACTCTTCCACCTGTCCCTCGCTACTTTTCCACCTGTCCCTCGCTACTTTTCCACCTGTCCCTCTCTACTTTTCCACCTGTCCCTCTCTACTTTTCCACCTGTCCCTCGCTACTCTTCCAACTGTCCCTCGCTACTCTTCCACCTGTCCCTCGCTACTCTACCACCTGTCCCTCGCTACTCTTCCACCTGTCCCTCGCTACTCTACCACCTGTCCCTCGCTACTCTACCACGTGTCCCCTCGTTTGTCACCCAAATGTCGCCAGTTTTAGAAAGAAGCAAAATAACTTTTCCAAGAAATATGATCCTGGTCTCTCAAAAATTGGCGTGGGTGACACGTGAGGTATGTGGTGTGGGTGACATGTGAGGTATGTGGCGTGGGTGACACGTGAGGTATGTGGCGTGGGTGACACGTGAAGTATGTGGCGTGGGTGACACGTGAGGGAGGTATGTGGCGTGGGTGACACGTGAAGTATGTGGCGTGGGTGACACGTGATGTATGTGGCGTGGGTGACACGTGAGGTGTGTGGCGTGGGTGACACGTGAGGTATGTGGTGTGGGTGACACGTGAGGTATGTGGTGTGGGTGACACGTGAGGTATGTGGCGTGGGTGACACGTGAGGTATGTGGTGTGGGTGACACGTGAGGTATGTGGTGTGGGTGACACGTGATGTATGTGGTGTGGGTGACACGTGAGGTATGTGGCGTGGGTGACACGTGAGGTATGTGGCGTGGGTGACACGTGAGGTATGTGGTGTGGGTGACACGTGATGTATGTGGTGTGGGTGACACGTGAGGTATGTGGCGTGGGTGACACGTGAGGTATGTGGCGTGGGTGACACGTGAGGTATGTGGCGTGGGTGACACGTGAGGTATGTGGTGTGGGTGACACGTGATGTATGTGGTGTGGGTGACACGTGAGGTATGTGGCGTGGGTGACACGTGAGGTGTGTGGCGTGGGTGACACGTGAGTGAGGTATGTGGCGTGGGTGACACGTGAGGTATGTGGTGTGGGTGACACGTGAGGTATATGGCGTGGGTGACACGTGAGGTATGTGGCGTGGGTGACACGTGATGTATGTGGCGTGGGTGACACGTGAGGTATGTGGTGTATGTGACACGTGATGTGTGTGGCGTGGGTGACACGTGAGGTATGTGGCGTGGGTGACACGTGAGGTGTGTGGCGTGGGTGACACGTGAGGTGTGTGGCGTGGGTGACACGTGAGGTATGTGGTGTGGGTGACACGTGAGGTATGTGGCGTGGGTGACACGTGAGGTATGTGGTGTGGGTGACACGTGATGTATGTGGCGTGGGTGACACGTGAGGTGTGTGGCGTGGGTGACACGTGAGGTGTGTGGCGTGGGTGACACGTGAGGTGTGTGGCGTGGGTGACAGATGCATGAATCATGGCGTGGGTGGCAGATGACTCCCTCACACACAAATCACCCTCTTGCCCATACACCTCGTGTGGAGAATGTCGGTTCAATGTCGATATTTGATTTATTGAGAGGATTTATGACCGCAGTGCCTCCTCCCTTCGCGACCTTCTGACGTATTGCCGCCCTTCTGCTCTCGCCAACCCATGGCACCCCTCCTCCCCCCTCAACCCTAACCCCCATGATCCACCCCCCCCACCTCACAACCCCATCCCGAGCACACACTAACTGCCACTACCATCAACCACCCCCCAGCTCTTTCACAAAGTTGACACATGGTGTATTTGACAAGCTACCAGATATATGTCTATATCCCAGTATTCTGGTCACTACAACATCACATTGCCGAGGTTTTGCTCAATTAGTTCCATATAATTGAATATATCCTCACAATATTTATCATAATGTATAAAGCTGCAGCCTCCAGGTCTCCCTTCAACATTATTTTTGTAGGATGTCTCATACTGACTGACTCTCGCCTTTCCCCCACACATCCGGTTGAGATATGATGAACTCTGTAAATGCTATCTGAATACTCGATGATATATTGGACTTGTACTCAAGATTGACTATGTAATGCATCAGTTATACAATGTATGTGAACTAAAACCTGAGCATGTGCAAGGATCCTAATCACCTTCAGTGCTAAATAACACACTAGTTTCTATAGCAACTATCTTACCCTGTCAAAGTAGGAGAGACATAAATGTGTGTGGTCAGAATTGCATTTCACCTTTGTAAACGCACATTAATGACACTACGTCAAAGATACCTCGAACGCTATTTAAGTAGGACAGATGTAAATCTGTGTATTTATGTTTTACGTCTCAACTGACACTGTCCAGCATATCTCAACTGACACTGTCCACCACATCTCAACTGACACTGTCCAGCACATCTCAACTGACACTGTCCACCACATCTCAACTGACACTGTCCACCACATCTCAACTGACACTGTCCAGGACGTATTTTACCAAAGAAAGGATGCAGAAAGTTTAGTGTAGCACCATTCACGTGTTGTCGCAGCACCGAGGGGAGACGACAGTACTCTCGATAAGAACCTAAATTGTTTTCAAACGCATGAACAAATAAGCTTCGTGGCGCTGTGTCAGTAAGAAGATTCGTGCCATGAACAAAAGTATGTCTTCGGTATGTGTGAATAGGTATTGTCACCACTTCCTTGGGTTATCTGGAAATACATACACGATTTAAACATGTTACAAGCACATACATTACACACACACGTTTTACAAGGCCTGTGCAATAAATAATTGTATATATAACTTTGTATCCATGGCTATCTCCCTCCTGGATGCGGGAGGGGCGGGCAGGTGTATTTTAAAAATAAACGCAACTGTACTCTTCCTGGTGACAAACACAGCACTTGTTGTCCCGGCTGAAAAAAAAACACTCAAATGTTCAAAACTGAAAACAAACTTTTTTGTATATAGGTGTAATTGAGATGGGTGTATTTTACTGACGTTTTCCTACGTCAGGTTTATTCCAGGTGTCCCTGGCTCCCGTCACGCCTATATTGTCAGTCACACAGTGGATCAACCATGACAATAAACGTCGGTGGTTAATATTTTACTTGTGTCAATACTTGCTAGTTAACACACGTAACAGTCTACGAGATTTTGTTCATGTTTGCGGTATATTTCTACCCCTCAGGCTGCTCTAAGGCAGCCCAAGATGGTAATCAATTCCCTATTTATGAGCAAAAGCTTTGGCTAACTCATCAGTTCTATCATGCATTCGGAGACCAATATGATGATGGACTAAGGAATTTCTTAGGAGGAATAGATTTTCCAGACCTAAACATGGGAGATGGGCCGGTCTTGGGCCGTGATGTGAACTTAGCCGTGGATGACGTGACAAGGGATTGCGATGTAGATTCAAAATATATATATGATTAAAAATATACTTAGCAAAGCTCGGGAACGCTGATTACATCGAGCAATATTGACTCCACATTGATACTAAAGAACTTTTTGTGTAAAAAGAAAGCATTATGCAAAAAGGATTAAAAATGGGGAAGCCAATCTAGAACAACAATTTGTCAAACTAATTAGTTTAACAAAAAATAAGGAAATAAAAAATAAACGAAGTTTGAATAGCAGGGCAAGCGAAGATAAATCCTAAAATTTTTTTAAGTTATCAAACAAAGATTAGAGAAACGATAGGTCGGATGACTGATAATGACAAAAAAATGAATAGTATTTTAAATAAATATTTTGCCTGTTTACTAGAGAAGAACTTTTAACATTTTGCCTTCAGCCGAACAAATCCATATTAGTGATGAAGAGGACAGGTCAACTAACTCATTTAGTGCTTAACAGCTATAGTTATTAAACAAATATACAAATCATAACCAAACAAGTCCCCAGGGCCAAATGAAATGGTTATTTGGGTACATGTTTTTTTTACAAGAATGTACAAACTCTCCGGTACAGGGGTCACCCCACGCCCTCTCCAGTACAGGGGTCACCCACGCCCTCTCCAGTACAGGGGTCACCCCACGCCCTCTCCAGTACAGGGGTCACCCACGCCCTCTCCAGTACAGGGGTCACCCCACGCCATCCCCAAAAAGGGGTCACCCACGCCCTCCCCAGTACAGGGGTCATCCACGCCCTCCCCACTACAGGGGTCACCCACGCCCTCCCCAGTACAGGGGTCACCCCACGCCCTCCCCAGATCAGGGGTCACCCACGCCCTCCCCAGTACAGGGGTCACCCCACGCCCTCCCCAGTACAGGAGTCACCCCACGCCCTCCCCAGTGCAGGGGTCACCCCACGCCTTCCCCAGTACAGGGGTCACCCCACGCCCTCCCCAGTACAGGAGTCACCCACGCCCTCCCCAGTACAGGAGTCAACCACGCCCTCCCCAGTACAGGAGTCACCCACGCCCTCCCCAGTACAGGAGTCACCCACGCCCTCCCCAGTACAGGAGTCACCCACGCCCTCCCCAGTACAGGAGTCACCCACGCCCTCCCCAGTACAGGAGTCAACCACGCCCTCCCCAGTACAGGAGTCACCCACGCCCTCCCCAGTGCAGGAGTCACCCACGCTCTCCCCAGTACAGGAGTCAACCACGCCCTCCCCAGTACAGGAGTCACCCACGCCCTCCCCAGTACAGGAGTCACCCACGCCCTCCCCAGTACAAGAGTCACCCACGCCCTCCCCAGTACAGGAGTCACCCACGCCCTCCCCAGTACAAGAGTCACCCACGCCCTCCCCAGTACAGGGGCCACCCACGCCCTCCCCAGTACAGGGGTCACCCACGCCCTCCCCAGTACAGGGGTCACCCACGCCCTCTCCAATACAGGGGCCACCCACGCCCTCCCCAGTACAGGAGTCACCCACGCCCTCCCCAGTACAGGAGTCACCCACGCCCTCCCCAGTACAGGGGTCACCCACGCCCTCCCCAGTACAGGAGTCACCCACGCCCTCCCCAGTACAGGGGTCACCCACGCCCTCCCCAGTACAGGAGTCACCCCACGCCCTCCCCAGTACAGGGGGTCACCCACGCCCTCCCCAGTACAGGGGTAACCCACGCCCTCCCCAGTACAGGAGTCACCCACGCCCTCCCCAGTACAGGGGTCACCCACGCCCTCCCCAGTACAGGAGTCACCCACGCCCTCCCCAGTTCAGGGGCCACCCACGCCCTCTCCAGTACAGGGGCCACCCACGCCCTCCCCAGTACAAAGGGTCACCCACGCCCTCCCCAGTACAGGGGTCACCCACGCCCTCCCCAGTACAGGGGCCACCCACGCCCTCTCCAGTACAGGGGCCACCCACGCCCTCCCCAGTACAGGGGCCACCCACGCCCTCCCCAGTACAAAGGGTCACCCACGCCCTCCCTAGTACAGGGGTCACCCACGCCCTCCCCAGTACAAAGGGTCACCCATGCACTCCCCAGTACAGGGTCATTCTAAATAATTGTGATGGGCAGTGAAACTATTCGACAATATTTAAAAAGAATACAAGAGTATCAATTCAAATTAAACTCCCCTAAATTGCCATTGGTCTCTGACATACTGGTATTTCCCTGTTCTACGTTGTTTGCGTGTGTGTGTACTCACCTAGTTCTGCTTGCGGGAGTTGAGCTCGGCTCTTTGGTCCCGCCTCTCAACTGTCAGTAAACTGGTGTATAGCATGACAAAGCAAGCAAGGCAAAGACACCCTAAATTACTGCACAGTCACATATGCCACCAGACTAGTAGCCGAGCTGAGGGATATAAGCTACGAGGGAAGAATACGGGAACTAAACCTCACGTCGTTGGAAGAAAGAAGAGTTAGGGGAGACATGATCACCACATACAAGATTCTCAGAGGAATTGATTGGGTAAATAAAGACAATTTAACACGGGGGGCACACGTACAAAGGGACACAGTTGGAAACTGAGTACCCAGATGGGCCATAGAGATAATAGAAAACACTTTTGTAGTGTCAGAGAAATTATTGACTGTTGTTGTCAATCGGTTGATTGATAATTGAGAGGTACCAAAGAGCCGAAGCTCAACCCCCGCAAGCACAACTAGGCGAGTACACCAACTCATCTTCCTGTTAGTAATTTGTTGTAGCAATGTGCACAATAGTACAAACATTGACGTGCTAAGCATTTATATTGAATTTGGACTATTCACTTCATAGAGTCCGAAAGAATTATGCTAAAAAACTAACTACAACATTCCCAGGCCTAGTATACCACACTTATGTACTCTATTAGGCCTTGTATAGCATGTATTAGGCCTAGGAATGTTAGGTTAGTTTAGGTTGTCTTTGCAATATAAATACAAAACCTTTTCCGGTTTGTCCAAATTCAATAGTACAGATTTCTACTTTTATAAGTGTGTTATATGTCGATAGATGTACTATGGTCCGCATCGTTACTCTAAATACTACCAAACTATAACTACTACCAAAACAGGAGGATGGGCTGCACACCCAGACAAGTGCATCATTGAATTTTGAAGTACTTTAGAAGGCACTTTAGACCCCACATGCGGGCAGGAAGAGCCAAACACTCGACTCCCCTTAGCACAACTAGGTGAGTACATATTGAGAAAAGTGAGCCAAGGAGTGCTTGAGTGACAGGGTAATAATTAACGAAGAAGAACAAGAAAGGAAGTCAGTGAAAGAGACAAGAAGCGAGGGGTGGATGGTTGTGATTTAAACCAAAAATTACCTTGTCTCGGGAGAGAACAAGATTGCCAGACAAGAGACGATAAGAACTCATCATGACTTCTCAACAAATCTTCACGACGATCCTTAAGTCTTCCTTTTTCAATACCTAGCAGAGAGCTACCCAGGTGATTGGTGCAGGGATGGGTGCTGGTGGGAGCATGGTTGGGAGTAAAGGAGCTGGTTGATACCTGGTTGATGGGGTTCTGGGAGTTCTACTCCCCAAGCCCGGCCCGAGGCCAGGCTCGACTTGTGAGAGTTTGGTCCACCAGGCTGTTGCTTGGAGCGGCCCGCAGGCCCACATACCCACCACAGATCGGTTGGTCCGGCACTCCTTGGAGGAATAAATCTAGTTTCCTCTTGAAAATGTCCACGGTTGTTCCGGCAATATTTCTTATGCTTGCTGGGAGGACGTTGAACAACCGCGGACCTTTGATGTTTATACAGTGTTCTCTGATTGTGCCTATGGCACCTCTGCTCTTCACTGGTTCTATTCTACATTTTCTTCCATATCGTTTACTCCAGTACGTTGTTATTTTACTGTGTAGATTTGGTACTTGGCCCTCCAGTATCTTCCAGGTGTATATTATTTGATATCTCTCTTGTCTTCTTTCTAGTGAGTACATTTGGAGGGCTTTGAGACGATCCCAATAATTTAGGTGCTTTATTGCGTCTATGCGTGCCGTATATGTTCTCTGAAGCTGGTCTCTTCGTTTATGGAACTGAAGACGGAAGGCTATTAAGTTTACATTAGCAATTATACTTAACAGAAGCAGCGACAGAGGTAAGATCAGAAACGAGGACAAGGATGGGAATTATGGGATAACTGTACCATTACGAGAGAAGATCAGGTTAAGACAAATTGTTTTGTTGAAAAAAAAAATGAGAAATGGAACAACAGAAAGTGGTTGCCATCAGAACAAGTACTGGTGAGAATAAAAAAATCGCCGGATGTGGCAAAAAGAGAGAGAAAAGAGGATACAAGGAGGAGAGAAGAAACAGGAAAAGGAAGCTCGACTATGGCAGCTCACCTGTGTCTCTTCTCTTCTCCAAGGGAAGAGAAGAACTAGCAGTGAATGACAGAAATGTACGTAAAAAAATCCACGACAGTTTCCAAGACTTCTTCAATTAGAGTTGGAACAACTCTCTGATATGAGAGTGAATATTCGTCCAAAGCGCACACAGAGACCAATAACACAGTAACAGGGAGAAGTAAGGTAATGCTTCACAGACTTGAGAAAATGAAGGCTATAATACCTGACCTTTTATCACCATGAACCATTAGAGAGGCTGAATAAAACCCGTGCATATCATTCCAACTGATCTTCAGTGCATGACTGAAGAGGGAAAGGGGAGGGGGGGGGGTGTACCGTGTAGTTGGGAGGTGACAAACATCCTACTGACATAACAAGGATACAGACAGGAGCTATGTAACTACAGGCCAGTGATCCTAGCAATGCAAAGATAATAAAAGAGAAAAATAGGACTACCTAAACAGAATTTGATAACGAAATACAAATATGGGAATGTGAAATGTTTATTTCCATGGAAGTGTGGATGACAATTTTTACGTTATGGTTACTTTAGGTTAAGGTATGGATAGGTTACATAAGGTCTAATTATGTTTGATTACGTTAATACAAGGCATTATTGACGATAATGTGATATATAGAAGTCGAAAACTATTTGAGTGTGCCCAGGAATTCCGTTTACAAAAAACTAAGTTCTTTAAAGATAATGTTTATAACTTACACTTTTTATATTTTAAACAAACGATTTATATTACAATAAAGTTATAAATTAGGAATAATCTGTTTCTGGCAAAGGTTTATTTGCCAGTTTACATGTAGACTAGTACTGGAACCGTAATATGCATTCAGACCATCACAAATATCAACATAACTATACAGGTTGTTTGAGGGTGGATGTAGTATCTCATGGTAATGGATTTAGTTTGAAGACGGACTCTACAGTGACATGGTGATTGCATCATTTCGGAGGAGTATCCTATGGGTGGGGCCTCCATAGTACTCTGTGAGAGGAGAAACATTGAAGTGACAACTTGACAGTGAAGTTGGAATCACGAATGTCCCCAAGCCTCGAGGTAGAGAGGGCTACCGACCTTTGTATAATATTCTGCAGTTACTCTATACCCGGTCGTCAAGGAACATCCTGGACCAGTGCGGGGGTCAGAGAGGCGAAGACAGAAGGCTACAGCGTTAAGAAGACAGAAGACTACAGCGTTAAGAAGACAGAAGACTACAGCGTTAAGAAGACAGAAGACTACAGCGTTAAGAAGACAGAACACTACAGCGTTAAGAAGACAGAAGACTACAGCGTTAAGAAGACAGAAGGCCACAGCGTTAAGAAGAAGTCATAGCCTCGTGCGAGAGCACATTGTGAGAATGGCGAGTAACGCAACGAGGAATTTGGCGCCAAGAGGGAGTGACGCCGCATGAGTAAAGGCAACGCCGCTAAGGTCGTCATGACAACGGATCCTTTTAAAAATGGTTGCTAGTAGCTGGATAACCTCCCCCTCCATCCAATGAGCTATTGAAGTCAACAAATCTGAGGTGAGTTTATTTTTGTGGCCGTGAGACTTTTATTTTTATTGGTGTGCAATTAAAACATTAATGTGTCGTAGATGGAGTGATAATCCTTATGACTTATGAACATATACTTATAAATATACACATTGAATTTTGCAGTAAAGGGGGGTAGCACAAGAGATTAGGATTTGCGATAAGGTGTGGCTACACATGTATTTGTTTAGGCATTAGCATATTACTTAGATTACGTTAATGTTGACAACGTGAATTAAATATTTAAGATTACTCTCTGAGACTAAGAGTTTAAGCTGTGCATTTTAACATCAATTTTGTTTTGTGTATGTTAGAGCAGCAGCCTAGTGAGACTCTGGTCACTGATTACAACTTACATGTGATCAGGTTGTCTTTATATTCATTATTGTTTGTTGTTTAATGATTTAGTAAATGTGTTTATACTACCAGTCCTTTTCATTATTCTCTCTGTTTTTATGTTTGAATTCAGAGCTGACTTTACATATCAACTCGACCTCATCAACAAAGACCATATGTTCGTTAATCCAGCCGCCATACCCCCTGTATATGAATGAAAAACAGTTTACACACTGTTAACTAACTTGTCCTCAGGCCAGGCTCGTTAGAGCAGTGGCCGACCCCCCCCCCCATTCACATTAACCAGTTTTAACGTACTGTGAACTAAAAATAGTTTTTTCTCGTATGTAAGTTAACATTATTTAAGTCCTGTGCATAGATACGCATTGGGTAAGTGTTTAGTTTATATTGGTGATTATTTGTATTTGAAATATGTGGGTGAAGCAATGAGCATTTGGCCTTTGTTGATGAGGACGTGTTGGTTCAAAGGTATCCCACCAGACTAGTTCCAAAACTATGAGGCATAAGTTAAGAGGAAATGCTACGTGAATTAAACCTTACGTAGCGGGAAGACAGAACAAATTAAGGGAAACACGATTACCACATACAAAATTCCCAGGGAAATTAATTGGGTAGATAGATTTAACACGGGTGGAACACGCACAGGAGGACACAGGTGGAAACTGAGCACCCAAACGAGCCAGAGACATTAGAATAAATTTGTTCAGTGTCAGAGTAGTTAACATATGGAATGTATTAGATAGTGATGTGGAGGCAGACTCCATATACAATTTCATATGTAGATATGACGGAGTGCAATAGTCTCCGGAACCTGTACACCAGTTGATTGGT